CCTGCTGACGATGCTGCAGGGACAGTCTCATGACGTGTGAGAGCATTTCCTATGTGAAACTTTCCGAAACCACTACACAGCATCCAGGAAAAAGTATCTCCTCCTAATGACCAGAGCCTAGTCTTCTTATTTTTTTTATTTCTTTTTTACTATATTTAAAGGCAACCTGCCGTTTAAATGTCTGAGCTTGTAGAAATAAGACATCATTTTGTCAGTTCAAAGTTGTTTGGAAAATTATAGTAATACAGTGTCTGCGTTTTGCCCGTGAGATATTTGATGCAAATTTGCATTCATAGTGATGGCAATGATTCTACTTATTTTGTTTATTCTACAGCTATAATCTAAATCTGAACGACTGGTCTCATCAGATAAGTTTTAAGAAGGATAAAGATTAAGTAAACCTCAATCTATATGGGGTGGGGCATCAAACATCAGTTTGATGCCATGGCTTCTCGACTTTTTGCATATGATCAAGTATAAAAATCAGTTTGATGCCACACTCCTACGCCAGAGGGATCATATCGGTGTGTCCACTGTGGATGGGAGAGGGCCACCAGAGCCAGCTCATATCCTGGACTTGTTCCTTAAGCAAATAGCCTATTTTAGAACTGTAAGCCTGTTACCCTTTAGGGTGGGTCCTGAAATTTAATTCATTTTTGTTTGAGTCTTTGCTCAGTGGTTCCTAATGACGGATTCAAAATACTTGATGCAGGAAACTGAAAGCTCCTCGAGGCTGAAGAGCTGAAGCTTGAAGAAAGAAAATGAATTGGCCAAAGGAAAGGGAACAGTCTGGAAAAGACAGCTGGGAGAGGGAAAAGCAAGCTGCAAACAGAGAATTCTTCTGCAGGCCTGGGGCTGGCGCCTGCGAGGCCTGTTGCCCGGGCCACATGAAGCTGCTAACACAGTCTCTGAGAGGTCTGGCTGGCTTGCAAAAGTGTAAACCAGCCACACTGACCGCTGCTCAAGAGCCCCACAGTAGCAGCGGCAGCCACCTCCAAGCCACAGATTCCAGGGGCTGGGCTGAATTTGGGCACACTTGGCCTCAGAAGTCTGTTTAGCCTTCCTCCCAGACAGAGTGAGCACATTGCTGGGAATGGCTGCTCTGAACTCCCAAGCACAAACTTGGGTGAATTGAGGGTGTGGTTAACAATCATTATACTAAGAGATAAAGAATAAATTGTCCTCCAGATCTGCAGCCTTTGATCAATCCATTGAGACGCTAAGTCTATTTGAGAGTCGTGTTCTGCTCTATTCAAGCACTTCTTGGCCACCGAATAGGCACAGCATAGAAGATAAGAGTCAAAACATACGCCACATGCTGGTTGGGTGGGATGGGATGCTCCAGCCTGTGGGGAGATGCAGGTAGGGAGCTGCCTGAGAGACTGAGGAATGCCACTTTGTCCTGTGGGGACATATATGAACCTATAGAAGGTTTTGAACAGGTAAGTAATGGGATGAAATCACATTTTTAAAGTTACTGAACTGACAACAGAATCAGAACAGAAGAAGAAAGGATGTTGAAGTGGATGCAGGAGTCCAGTTTAACTGCTCTAAGCTAGGATACAGAATGTAGGGTTTCTAGGCCTGTTGTGATGCCCTGACTCATGGCCAATAGCAAGAAAATATCGGTTTCCCTTTCTTTTAATTGGGGCTAGTGTGGTGGCAGTGAATATAAAGCACAGATGTGAGAGAGAGTACTTGATTGAGGAAGGGCTCAACTTTAGCAAGTACTTGGATACAAGGAATTTACAAGAGAGAACCAGAGGAAGGCTGGGTTTTAAAATTTTAAAAATCAGGTCTTAAGTAAGGGGTGCAGACATGAAGAGTACTTGTTTTGAGAGAACAGATGAGTTGAATTTGGACACCGCATTTGGATTTGAGATATTACAGGGACGATAGATTCAAGAGTCCCTACATAGTGGACTGGTTTTCATGCTCCTGATTTTCCCTGGACACATACCTGCTGTTGTGTTTGCAAGCTTTTTTTTTTTAATTGTTTTTTCTTTAAAAAGCTCCCTCAAGAGGTTTGCAAGCTTCAGGCCCCCCCAAAATCTGGACCTGTCCAGGTTGAAGTCAGAAGGCACTCCCATAGGATAATGGGAGATGAAGGGTTGGAAAAATCCAGTGACTGTCCCCCAAGGACCAGATGGGTCAGCAGAGGAGGCCAGAGAGGCAGAGAAGAGGCCTGCAGGCCAGGATGCTGCAGGGAGATCAAAGGAATGTGGGCTGAGGACGGGTCACTGGACTTGACCTCCCAAAAAAGTGACTGATTTTAGAGCACATATTCGGTATGCGGGGGAGGGGTAGAGTCCAGGTTGCAGGGGGGCTTAAGGAGTGGGCAGTGTGCAGTGGACACAGACTTCTCATCTAGGAGGCTGACATATGGAAAAGGAGAGGATGTCATTCCACTCCTTGTTTTTGATGTTCTGTCTTTTAACTGTTGCCTCCATAGTCACACTGACTGCTCCTTGGGACCGATATTAACTCCCTGAGCATGGTGCTGTCTTTCTCTTCTATTACATTTCCCACCGCTGGAGATTTTCTGTGGTCTAAGGAGGATCGATTTCTCTTCACGGTTAGTGTAAGCCTAGTTAACCTCTAAGAAATGGGCTATTGGCTGGGATGGATTTTGTTGTGGAGATTTGTTTCTTTTGTTTTTTACTCTACTAGTTTTTCTTTTTCTACCCACACAGAGGTCAGAATTCTGCCCTGGAAGTCCAGGGGCTGAGGACTAGGGTGGAGAGGGTGAAGTCACGGGGCTGGAGTAAAAGCAAGAGTCTGTTATCTGGGCTCTGGAGTCAAAGGTAGCAATGACTTCATCCCCGGGGAGGGCGCCTCCCCGCCCTGCAGCTGATTTCCGACCAGCTGGCTTGTCAGAGGTTTCCTTGGACTACTCCTTTCCCACTGGTTGGCGTCACATGTCACTTTGAAAAAAGATGCGATTAATCTGTCCTTCCCTTTCCTCCTGTGAAGAGCCTTTCCCAGACGTCGTCTGTTCGTGCAATCGGACTTGAATGTAACCAAAAGGTTCCTGTTATAGTCGCCATTGAGAATTAAAGGAAGCTCCGCCCGGCTGGGATTAGGCTACTTGGGCTGGGACAGTGCACCCAAGTGCTGCCTAGCGCTTCGGGGAGAAACAAGCCGGAGGCAGAGTATGGTCCGGCGCACATTTGGGTGTGCGCGCGGAGTGTGTGCGTGCAGGGGTGTGCGCGCGCGTGTACACAGGGGAGAGTGCCAGGGAGGCCACCGCAGAGGCTCCTTTGTGGGAAGGCTCCGGCTGGTTCAGAAGCCAGCTTGGAGTTTCCCCTTTGCTGGTTCCACGAGGACACCTGGCTCTTTGGCAACTGTCCGTACATCTCCGTCCCCCGCCGTCCCTACTTCCCTGGGTGGCCGACCACCGGGACCTACAGGGAGCAGCGTGCTGAGCGTCTACTCTCAGGCCCCCAGGGCCCCGCGCAGGTGGAGGTGAGCGCCGCAACGCGCTCGCGCGACGTCGGCGTCGGGAGGGTGGGAGGGGGATGGGGCCAAGCAGGAAGGGGCGTGCTGGCCTGGCGGGCTGGGAGCTCGCTGCATTATTACCTGCGGCAGCGCGGAGCCCCGCCCCGCGCCCGCCGTCCTGCCCCCTCGCGGTCCAGAGCAGCTCAGGCTGCACTGACAGGGGAAGAGGCCGCAGCGCCAGGAACTCCGAGCGCGCGCGCGGGGAATGCGGGTCGCGGGTGAGTGTCAGCCGTGCGGCCAAGGCAGAGGCGATTGCTGCTCCGGAGCCACAGGGACCCGGTGGGTCCCTGCTCCCGAGAGCGGAGATCACCCAGGACCCCGGGCTGGGGTGCTGAGTCTCGGCTGCCTTAGAGCCTCAAGGGGAAGGCTCCGGACGTTGGAGCTCCCTACACCCAGCCAGGTGACTTTGGCGACCGCACTTCCCGGGCCGCTGAGTACAGCGATCGGTCCCTTGAGGCAAGAAAGCGCGTGTCTGGACCCGAGTCCGGAGAACTACCTAGGTCGCGGGCCGCCTCCGGGTTGGACCTGGGAGGGCAGATTTTACTTAAGTTGCTAAGTCTCTTGGATAAACTGCGCCCCCACTGGATTCCCACCTGCCCAAGAGCGCACAATTGAGGGGCGCCGCGCCGGGTCCCTGGACTTGCCCGTCTGACAGTGGGTGCGGGGTTGGCGAGGACCGAGAACGTGACGGCTGTAGCTCTTGCACACTCGCTCTGGCCGTGCGAAGTTCAGGTTAGAAGGTGCCCCCTGCACTTGTAGAAGTTTGGCGGGGGGAAGCGGGTGGGCTGGCGGGTCAGCTCCAGCCGCTCCCGTGCCCCAGCCTGAGGACAGCGGGCTCCGGGTTTAATTCTCCGACCAAACACCAGGAGTCTCCCTCTACGGTTTTTCTAGCCGGTTGTTCCCGCTGTCTTTAGCTGAGCCGCAGTGCGGCGTTGAGGCTTTCTTCCTTGCGCCCGGGACCCCAACCTCGGAGGTGAGGGGGTGTCGCCTCCGAGGTGTAAGGAGGGGACGAAGCCCATGTCTAGGAACAAGGTGACCTCCCTTTTAGATTTAAGCACAGACACCCTCCCCAGTTAGTTCCTTCCTCCGGGTTCTGGGAGCTTTGTGCGATTGAGGGGGCGGCGGGGCGAAGAGGGCACTGGAGCCCAGGCACTCGGGATGAAGGGGCGGCGTCTGGCGACCCCCGGTCCCTCCTCGACCCTCCAGTAGTACGGGCACCCGGGGGGGGGGGCTAAATGGTGCTGCGGCTGCTCTAGTTGTTTCTGCGGGAGGTGAGGCTCACGCTCCCGGCAGGCAGAGGATCTGGCCCTTCCTGGGCACCGGCCCTGTAGTCCCCGCTGGTCCCTGCACGACCCGCACAGCAGGCAGCGGCCCCTCCCCGGCGCGCGCCCTCCCGGGGCCGCCGCAGACGCTGCGCGGCGCGTGTGGGCGTCTGCCTGCGCCTCCAACCGGCCACCCCGCCCTCCTGCCGCGGGTCCAGATAAGGACACCTCCGAGGGCTCGCGTGCTGCCCGCGGGGACCTCCCACTCCCTTCGGTCCTGCTGCTGCCGGACGCGGAACGGGGCTCCCTGGGGATTCCGTCGGACGCCGCTATTTGCACGCCGAGGGCCAGGGGCTCCCCACGCTCTCTGAGGCTTTTGTGCGGTCAAGCCGGTGGCGCTTTGGTGAGTGGTCCGGGCGAGGTTGGGGGTCGTAGCGGACTGCTGGCCAACGCAGAGACTTAGGGAACTGCTATGCATCCAGACTTGAAAGAAATCTCGGCCCCGATGTCCTCCCGAATTGCTTCGGGAACTAGTCGTTTTCAAACGTGTGTTGTACAGAAACTGTTCGGCGATCTGTGACCCCCTCCACTGACCCACAGATGTCTGCCTGGAATGAGTAGCCTGCCTGCGCTTCCTTCCTTCTCTCTAGAGCATCCTTTGGCGCTGATTGTGTGTGTTTCCTCGGTTTTGGGACACTGAGAGAAACCGAAAATGCACATTCAAAACCAGACGTTCTTTCTCAGCTCTCAGGGTGTTGCCCTCCCGGGCATCTCTGTGAAATGTTTATGTTTTGCTGCAGATTAAACACGCTGGCTGGAAACAGTCTTCGTTGCCAGCTCTGGTTCGACTGTTTGGTTGACACTCCGTGTTTAATAAAGGTATTGAAAGGTAGACGGTGGGGAGGAGCCTGTTCCCAGTGAAGTGGAGTGAGAGCAAAAATTCCGTATTTTAGAATTGCCTGTACTCTCCCCAGCCTTTCCTTTCCCTCAGATGAAACAGGGCTATGAGTTCCTCTGCCTCTTCTCTCCAAATCTGACATGTTGTGCCTCCCTTTGTCAGCAGAAGGGTGTGGGCCAGCCCTTCCTGCTCCCACCTCATCTGTGACACATGTCAGGCATCAGGTAGAAGGGTTTTCTGGTGTGGCCTTTCCTTGGCGTTTGCTTTTGATGATTGCTGACCTAGTGGTGAGCGACCAGCTAGCAGCAAGGACCCAGTAAACTGTCCTTCAGGAAAACTCTGAGCTCTCAGCTGACTTTCAGGAACATGTTTTCCTCCTAGATACTCAGAAATAAAGCACACGCACTCTTCCCTCCCGCCCTCTCTGTTCAAGAGAAGAGCGCTTGGGCTATGTTTCTGACACCAAGAGCAAAGTAATGGGGTTGTTTAGGCAGGAGAGTTTAGGAAGTGGGCAGAGGGCTCCTTTGGAGACCCCAGGAACATTCTTATTTTAAGACCTTTTGTTTGCTGATGAGCCAGAGGCCAAGAGCATGGTCCCACTGACCCCTTATTAAAAATTCACACAGTTAGAAGATGCTCAGCTGAGCTCCAGCCTCCCCAGGAGTGTCCGTCACTTAGACTCACCTGTGCCAGGTAGTGATTAGCACGCAGGGGACTTCAAGTTCTCATCTTCAGAGCCTTACCGTGACCGCTGTCCATTTTACTCAGAGAGGGACGTTTGTCAGCCTGAGCAGCCACCCTTCCTGCCACCAAGGCCCCCAGCCCGTAGGTGAGATGTTAAATACAAGCCTGTCTCTGTCCGTCTGCCCAGAGGAGATTGATGGATACTTGACATTTTCCAGACAGAGCCAAGGCTAGTTCTGGTGTCCCGGCTGGCAGTCGCCAGCCGTGAGAAATGGCAGTGTCTTTAGATTGCCTGTGTTCTCCTCTCGTACTTGGGGCATACACGTTTCCTTCTTTACTGGCGATAGTACCAAAGTAAATTCAGTGTTCTTTGTGTGGCGTCTGTTTTCATGCCTGCCGAGACCGTGGAAAGGGTTAGATGCCCAGCCGCACTCTTTTTCCTACCTCTGTCCGATGTGAGAAATCCTGGCCAAGGAGGAAGCCCTGTTGAACCCCTGTTGACGCCAATGATAAAAGAATCAGGATCTTAGCTAATCACCACTGGACAACGTACTCATTAGAAACTGTCAGGGGCCTAAGAGTCTTGTATGTTCCCCTGGGAGAAAATCAGCCGAACAACATACCAGAAACAATGTTGTACATTTTCTTTTGTTCCTTTAGCTTTTTCAAACAACATTTTTTAATCCTCACCAAAGGGTATGTTTATTTACTTTGTTTTTTATTTTTTAGAGAGAAAGGAAGTGTGTGGGGGGTAGGGGCAAAGACGGAAACATGGATGTGAGAAACATCAGTCATGTGCCTCCTATACGTGCCCTGACCTGGGAGTGAGCCCACAGCCTAGGTATGTGCCCTGACCAGGAATCAAACCTGCAACCCTTTGGTGTATGGGACCATGCTCCAACCAGCTGAGCCACCTGGCCAGGGCTGAAATAATATTCTTTCTCAAGCTGGGGTGGGGGGGGTAGAATCATGCCAATGCACAGCTAACGCGTGTTATGTATTCCTCTGACAAGCTTTTATTTGCTGCTTACCCTGTGTAATGTGTAATACTGAAAAGAGACTTGCATCTGTTCGAGGTTCGGTGTTGGAAGACAGAGCTGCTGCGCGGCTCGGGGGTGTGTGGTCTTCCCCACTCTTTATTAGAGTCTCTGCATTTGCTGGGAGAGGTTTAGGGGCACATCTGTGCGTGTATTTACTCAGCACCGAGTGAGTTATTGCTTTCTAGGATGGAGACTTTTTTTTAGCTTATCACCATTCTTAACAGGGATAATCTATAAACAAGACGACATACTTGGAATTGAAGGATTAGCAACTCTTCTCTACGTAATTAGTGAATTGGAGGACCAGAACTCCTGTAGACAGGAGATAGTTCATGTACAGAAGTATTTTAAAGTATGTGAGGCTAAACTGTCAAGATTACCTGTGCTGTCTTGAAAAAAGAAGAGTTCAAATGTAACTATAAACTGTAATTGACAGTGAGTCATTTTCCTTAGCGGTGCCAACTATGAACACAGCCTAGTTGTCCCCCTAATGATAATTATGAAAACTCCTTTTAAAAGCCAGGTAAGCCACAAGCGGGCTTGGATAAATATTTTTCATTTTACCTTTAAAAATATTGCCCAGTGGTGATGGCTGCACAGCAGTGTGTGTGAATGTACTTAGTGTCGCTGATGTAACTTAAACGTGATGAAAATGGTAAAGAAAATGTTATTCAGTTAATGACTGGAAATGCGATTTTCTTATCACTTATGATTTTCAGGACTTAAATATTCAAACATTTAATAAAAACATGGGTTCTTGATAGAGATAACTCAATATACAGTCACCGAGTATTAAAAAAGGATAAGTCTCCAAAACCTAGAAGCTTAGAGAGCAGGGAGTGGAACTATTAAAGGTTTCTAGCTCTCTGAGCACTTTACCTATAAACCCAACACATATTCTGAAGCAAATGTAATGCCTGAGAAGAGAAAAAGAAATCATATGTACCTGTGACACCAGTTGTTAATAATAGCTGATTATATACAGACATCCAGGGAGGCCTGCGCGTGTATTAGTTCCTGTATTCTTATCCACGCCCCTGAAACGGAATGTCCTTCTCTGATAGAAGAGGGGGTTGAAACGTAGGGTTAATAACCTGCCTCACCCCAGGTTGCACATCTGAGGAAAAGCAGTGTGTTTCTGGAATCTCCACTCTCATGTCCAGGGCAATCGGGCCTTTCCTGTGTGGTTCTGTGTAAAACATTTCATACCATTTGAGTTGGTGAGAGCAGACGGTTTACTCCTGTGTAGCCCAGTCTTGTCCGGCCACCGTGACTGTGTGTGCGTGAGTGTGTGTGTGAGTGCGTAAGTGTGTGTGAGTGAGCTCTGGCAGCGATGCTGTAAAAGGACAACCGCGCTCCACAGTCCAGTCTGAAACAGCCCTTCCTTGTGGCCCTTTACGACCTGGGGGAAACAGTCCCCCTTTCCACTCACCCACGCCGTCAGGCGCTCACTCTGCAGCCTGCACCGGGTCCCTTCTTCCACATTCCCACTTACCTGGGCTCACACCTGAAGGAATGGAGTTGTTTTAACCCCTCTCCCCACATCAGGTCCGTGCCCACCCAACACCAGAAACAAACATTTAAAGGTCAGTAAAAATGCAGGCCACTAAAGTCAGTGGGTGACTGTGTGTGTGGGTCGTTGGGGAACAAGTGGCAGGTTCTAATAGTGTCGCGGAAGACGCAGGTGGTTTCCGGAGAGCAGCTTAACTAGCATCCAGAGTGATAGCATCAGAAGCGATGGTAGAGGTCAGGTAATGGATCCCAACCTCCTAATTTTACAACGAGAAATTGAAGTCTAGTGAGGCGAAGAGACTGGTCTGAAACGGTAAGCGGTAAAGCTGGATTTAGAGTTGGAACCTTTAGTCTTCGTGTCTAGTGTTCTTTTCTCTATTTTCGGGGAAGCCATGTCACAAAGTAGAGCAGGAGCACAGTGACTCTGTCTCCCGGGAGATGAATTCGCCCTTTATTTTATTATCTCCAAATCCCTGCCTATTACATGCAGGGTGGAAGATGCCAACTGATTGGGAGGGGACATGTCCACCCTGGAGGAAGGCAGGGTCACGGACAGACACCTGACACTTCAGTCATTTGTATAATTTCCCTAGGGCTTGTGTATCCATTGTCCAGAGACACCGAGCCAGGTCGCAAACAAGTAGTTTATTCATAAAGTGAGCGATTCTTGCTGAACCTATGGTGGGTTCTCAGCAAATATGTGTTTTATTGATTGACAGAAGGTTTCCAAGTTGGATTTATTGCTGCTGTGTTGGCAGCGTTTCCAGGCAGTAAACCTCGGTTCACGTTTAAAAAAAGTATTAGTTCCTTTGAATGCTCTCTTGGATGGATTGCCCCGCATTGATTTTAACAGCCAGTTACTCTGGGGCGATTGCACTAGCTTCTGACGGGAAGAGCTCGCACGGGACTGTTTTCCTAGGCTGGTGGTAAAGTTGTTTTTTATCTTTGCAGGTGTGGAAGATGGCACACGGCACAGGGGCCTTTTTCTCCACCTGCAGACTAGCGGGTGAGCACGTATGACACACATTTGAGGTTTGTGTCTGCTACCCCAAAGTCAAGAAATTACCTCCTTGGAAGGCAACAATACTATGCATGTTATGAATTGTGTCTCCTTGGTCAGTGATAAAGAAAATGGGACTACCGCCACAGCAGCTGGATTCATGATTGAGCAGACGCCACCACCCCCTCCTCCTCCTCCACCACCCCCTCCACCTCCACCATGCCCATCACATTCAGCGGAAGGGTTTTCTCCCTCTCCGCCTCCCCCTCCCCCACATCCACTCCCCGAGGGGCCTCTGGGCCCTCCTCCTCCTCCAGGACTGCCCCCAACTTCTCATGTGAATGGCTACAGCCACATCGGTAAGAAAAAGCGGATGAGAAGCTTTTTTTGGAAAACCATTCCAGAGGAGCAAGTACGTGGCAAAACCAACATCTGGACCTTGGCAACCAAGCAGCAGCATCAGTACCAGATCGATGCGAAGACTGTGGAGGAGCTCTTTGGGCAGCAGGAAGATGCCACCAAGCCTTCCGTTTTCCGGAGAGGAGGACCTGTGAATTCGTCCTTCCGGGAAGCAAGAGAGGAGGTAAGAATGGGACGTGGTTCTGAGTTTGGGAGGGTACGGACCTTTCAAAACTTGCTAGAATCACTAAGGAATAGCATAATGCAAGGGAATGTGCTCTGGGAATGATTGAAATGGCCTTAGACGGTGAACTTGAGCTGAGTAGTAATGGAGTGTGGGGAGCCCGCATGCGGACCCTCCCAGGCATCTCGGTGGATTATGACCTCATGCAGAGAACACGCTCTCTGGGACCGAAGTCGTGGGCTCCTCAGCTCTGCCCTGTCTGCTCCTCTGCAGTTTCCCCTGGTGAGGCGCCTCTGCCGGAGTCCAGGACGATGTGTCTCCAGAGAAACAAACAAACAAACAAACAAACAAAAACCCAACTAACTCAGTCATCTGTGATGAACTGGAGCTTTCTGAGATAAAACGCCTTTTGTTAAACAGCATCATTCACTAATACATATCCTTCGGGTTTTAGTCTTAGTTTTTCTTACACTTTTTCTTGCACAAGTGTTTGGCGACGGCCTTTATTCCTCTAATATCTGAGTTGAATGATGGCCATTGTGGAAAAGAGATTTGCAGAGAGCCAAAGCGTGAAGCGATTTTCAGATGGACTTCCTAGGAAGCGTATTTTCAGTTAAGGTTCAGCTACTTTGAGAAGAAAACAAAGCAACGAGTCATAAGAAGTAAACCGGGAGCTCAGCATCCGATCACTATATATTAGATACACTGAGTCCAAAACGGCATTTGTGTAAACTCTCTGTGTAGAAACATGAGAGTAAAACTCGAAAAGCTTCCACTTGGTAGAAGAAATCATTAGGAAGCCAGGGATTAAAAAGAAAGAATGCTGCCTGCTTAAAAAAAAAAAAAAGAAGAGGTGGTGGGGTGGGGTAAGCAGCAGAAATGCATCATTTTTTAATCTGTGTAAAGGAGCCGAGAAAATAGGTCAGAGATGGAGCTGCTGAGATAAGCGAGTAGGCAGGGCTCTGGAATGAAGTAGCAGCTCCCTGCATTATTGAGTTCTTGAGCTGGCAATATTGACCTCTTTTCTGTCTGGCTCAGGAACGTGTTAATGTCTCTCCACAAATTCTCTTTGGGGGGCCTCGAAGCCATTGGTGTGGTGCCCTGTTGAAATAGCCAAGGGTCTATTTATTATAAAATACGGAGACTGCTGGGATTAGAATTCACTGTAAACTGTAACGTGAGTTTGAGAGGAAGTCTTCAGGATGAGCCTTAGTGCTGAACATACTCTGTCTCTGTTCTTTGCTTTATGCAAAGTCCTTTTACTTCTTGGCAGAGCCTTTCAGTATTGGAAGGGGCAAGAAGCCGTTTCCTAAGTTCGCTGGCCTTCGCCCAGCTTCCAGCGGAGGTTTCCTATTATACAGCAGGCGGTTTCTCACCATTGTTTCTGAGCTCTCTACTGCATTTCAAGAATTTTCAAGGAAACGGGATGGGCGCACGTGGGAAAAAAGTAATGTCTCAGGAGAGCACCGTGCTTCTGGGGAGGTGCCTGGCCTTTGTACATTGGGGAGATTTATTTTGCCACATGGTAATTCAAGGGGCGAGGAGGTACTTGCTGCTCTGTGTTGGTGAACTGAAGGGAGGATCAGGGCCCTGCAGAGAGGGAAGGATGAAGCAGGGAGTGTGGAGTCGTTTCCCACCCGTGGCAGAACAGAAATGTTCATTTTGAGGCCAGATCTAAAATTCAGGGGGAAGACAGGCTTTCCTCTCACCTCCCTCCACCTCTGTACTCTGGGTACAGCTTTACTTTGTTTTTTCTTTGACTTAAAAAAAATACTGAAAGCAAATCATTATGTTTTAAATTGTGGTAAAGTAGACCTGAACCATTCCCAAGTGTGCAGTTCAGGGCACTGAAACACTCCAGCTGTTGCACGGCCAGCATCACCCCCCAACCGGAGAAGTCTCATCTTGCAGCCTGCATTCCTGACCCCAGTAAACGGTAACTCCTCTGTGTCCCCCTCCTCCCAGCCCCAGGCAACCACCGTCCCCCCCCCTCCCCTCTCTGGGTTTGGCTACTCCGGGTGCTTTAAGTAAGTGCCACCACACAGCATTTGTCTTCTTGTGACTGGATTATCGCACTTTGCATAACATCCTCAAGCTTCCTCCACACTGTAGCGTGTCAGCGTGTGGAGGCTGGATGCCAGTCCATTGTCCGTGCGCCACACTGGTGTGCCCAGCCACCCGCCACTGGATGATTGGGTTATTTCCACCTTTTGGCTGTTGCAAACACTGCTGTTCTGGACAGGGTTTGCAATATCTTTTATTTTTAATACTTGTAGGTCCTAATCCGAGAGAGAACATTCTAGAGAGAAAAATGAAATCGCCGTAACTATGTACTTGAACAACTTAACTTTTCAATTCTTCAGTACTCAGGTAGGGTAAGTCGTTTAGGTAGATGGATTTAAGTGTGTATTACATAATATTGTCACATAGCAGGGTTATCCAGACTAATTCTCAATTTTGCATGCTGTCTCCAACATGGCTAGAAGTATTATATATACTTCTTCTTTCCAGTAAAGAATACAACACCTGCTGTTTTCATCCCTCGTTAGACTTTCTTCTAAAGCAGTTATAACTCAGCAGAGTGGTGGTCTGACAAGGACCAGTAAGAAATCTTCCAGTTCACTCTGTACAGTGAAGTTCAGGGTTGAAAGCAGCAGTCCTCACCACCTGCCTGTGGACGGGAGACCCGTCCTGAGCCTGGAGGCCTGGCGTTCCCAGCACGTCACCACACAGGCCATCATTTTGGAGGTTCACACGTGCCAAGGATCAGATTATGTCCCCTTGAAGCATAATAACCTCCTGCAGAAATGGCCTGCCGTTAGGTGGCTGGCTCACACTTTACAGGGCTTATAAAGCACTACAAATAAGCTCCATTATACTCCAGCGAAGAAGGTGCTGGAAGACAGGGAGGAGCTGGGTTTGGGTGTCACTGGCTTTAGGAAGAATAACACTTAAAGCAGTAAATTGGAACACTTAATAAAGGGGGAAGAGGTTATGAAATATTACCATCCTTGTATCTTTGTTACGTAAAAAGTAACTACAGGTGTTGCAATAATAAAGCTGTAATAAAGCGATTAGAAATACATTTCTATAACTGGAAGTAGTAATAAAAAGACTCAGCTCAAACTGTCCACCCTTCCCCGCCCCCACGTTGGCTGATGTCACCCCTGAGAAGTTCCCCGTCCAGGTGTTGCAGGTGCTGCTCAGCCTCCTTGGAGCCCCACACGGGGTCTGTACCTGTCTCCCTCTAGAACCTGAAATGCTCTTAAGGAAAGGACAGCCTCAGCCATTTGGTAGCCTTCAAAGAAATTAAAGGTAACTGAGCTGACAGAACTGAACCAAGGGAGCAGAGGGACCGTCTTACAAAGTGTCAGTCAGTAGGATAGATCAAAATTAGGATCACAAAGAAACCACAGTACGATGTATAAGGTCCGAGGATCTAAATGTGAAACGTGGGGGGCCACAGTTGATAACACTGTAGCGTATAATTGAAATTTGTTACGAGAGTAGAACTTAAATGTTCTTACCAACAGAGAGAGAGAATGGAAGGATGGAATATTGATTTTTCTAAATTTATAAGAGGTAATGTTTTATTCACCCACACTGTAATTCAGGTATCAGTCATTATTTTTCAACCCTTGTTAAGATCCCACTATTTTCTAAAATTCTGCGATGTGCTCATTCCAGAACTGCAGAACCAGGTAGTGGTGTTTTAAATATATTTGAAAGGAGGGAAAAAAACCCAAAACTTCAACTGGGTTTTCATTGCTCAACCTTCATAGTTGGAGGAAGAACACTTCCCAACTGACAGCCAACCAGAAATAAAAAAGGAAATGAAGAACCATCAAAACCCAAAAGCTAAGCCCATACCTGGGGATACAGGCTTTTCAGAATTTGACGTAAGATTGAAATAGCCACTGCCTACTATTAATTTCAGTGAGGATGCCTCCCTGACACATTGAAACAAAAGTGCTTTAAAATTTTCTCCGTTTAGCTGAAGACATTACACTAAGTGAAATAAGCCAGTCACAAAAGGACAAATCGTGTATATGATTCCATTTATATGAGGCACCCAGAGTAGTCAGATTCCTCGGGACAGAAAGGGGAAGGGTGGTGGCCAGGGGTGGGGGAGGGCAGTGATGGGCAGTGGGGTTTAGTGAACGGGTCCGGAGTTTCAGTACTGCAGGATGGAGGGTGCAGTGGGTGGATGGTGATGCTGGCGGCACAGCACGAGGACGTCCCGCCTGCCACTGAACTGTACACTTAAAAATGGTGACCGTGATAAACACTGCTAGGCGTGTTTCACTACGGCAGAAGACAAACGCTCCCTCTGCCTTTAGAGAATTCGGGAGGCAGATTTGCTGTGGATTGGTGCCCGGTGAAAAAGTATACACGTAGTAGAAGGAACTAGGAGAGCTTTGAGTTTTAACCAGAAAGGTGGGATAGCCGTGCATGTCGTTTATGAAGTGCACAGTGTATACTCTGGTCTCGGTGTCCCCAGGGGTGTTAGAACAGCCCCGGTGCCCCAGCCAACTGAGGGCAGACTGTGATTTCATAGCAAGCCCCCCCGCATCCCAGTGGGACATCCTCCAGATGGGATGAGTTGAGCACATACCTGCCAGTTAGTGTGTGGGTTGGCCAGGGGCGGTGAACTCCTCCACCAGCCTTTCTGGAAAGCTCAGGAGCTCTGTAGCTCACTGGCTGGACCCGCTGCTGCAGGCCCGGACTTCCCTGGGGCCCTGTCTGCGTGCACTGCAGATAGGGATTGACTGGAACTGATGAGGGAGGGGCCGGGTCAATTCATCCCTTGTCTTGGGACAGTTGTCTTAGCCCTTGGAGCCCACGAGTCTCGCTGGGGCCCATGGGTCAAGCCCCAGCAGTCCCACACACATTCATTTCTCTATTCCCAGGCTTATTGAGCTGGCCAGCATTTGGGAGCAAGATAAGCTAATTTACATGTGTAGTGATAACCCTCTTTGAAGGATTTCAACAAACACTTTATAACACTGCTTTAGAGGGATCCAGTGAGATAACCTAGGAGAAAGGCTACTCACACACTAGGCAGATCTGCGGGTGCTAGAGGGTGGGGCGGTCCCTGCAGTGTTATCAGTTGTCTGGTTTTCTGTTGTTTGGAGGAGGCGCTGGGCTGTTTTCCCTGTGAGGTGCTCGGTCACCGCCAGCCCAGGTTTTTCCCTACAAATACTGACGAATTCTCTTAGTGCCTGGTTTCTGAAGCCCTGCTTCAGGCTGTAGAGTGAGAGCTGTCCCAGCCTGTGGCTGCCCCTGGGTTGAGCATAAATAAGGAAGCCTCTTGGCTCCTGGAGGCTGTCTTAGCTGGCGAGATTTCTAGCCATCATCCCACACATATAACTCTGGGGTCACCAGGGGACTGGACCAACCCTGCGGGTGGCTTTCTCCGGGTCTGCCCCCATTTCTTGAGAAACATCCCAGTGTGAATACCAGGCTGGTGGGGGAACATTGGCCACTTCTCTGTATTCTTGCAGCTCACAGGACATAGAATGAAAAGGAGGCAGATACACCCAGGTGCATCTCAGTTCTAGTCATGTTGCTTTGGGGAAATGACAAAAATGGCATCTCGGAGGCTCAGTTTCCTTCTGTGGCAAGTAGGAAGAAGAGTAAAGTCTCCATCATCTTCCCACCAGCAACAGCTATGGATCTTGGCCAAATGTATGGAGATACAGAGGGCTGAAGGGTGAAGATGATGAGGGTGGAGTTTGGGGTATTGGGGACCACGGAGGGTGCTTCTATCGAGGGTTAAATATAACGGGGTAATTTAATCAGAGACATTTAAAATAAGTTATTCCCCCATTCTGGGTAGAAGTGAGTGCAGAGAAGGTTCTTTGGGTGCGTATGTGGTTGTGTCAATGTGCATGTTCTTACTTGTTAAGTTATGAATTATAATAAACACATAGTTATCTCAATAACTTTAGATTCCTCTTTTTGGTATGAGCTTTCATTAAAGGGTGATAACCTTGACAGGTTTTTTTCCCCTTCTTCCTTTCCCCCCCTCTTCCCCTCACACTGAACTTGAACTGCAACCCCAAGGTAGAGATTGCAGTGGGGAGCTGGCCCTTTTAACTTGGGAGTTTATTTTATGGTTGGCAGCTGATTGTGTTAACATGAAATAAACCCCTAGGATAGTAAATAATCTGATTGTTTAAGATTAGTCTTCAAACGAAGGCAACCATACTCTTGTAAAAATTTAACCTTATAGCCAGGAAGTGCCATTAACTTTGGTTAACAGTCTTGCTAGTCGTGCTGTTTCCTATAAATTTAGAAGTAGGCCCAGTACCAGGGATTTAATCTGAAACCTGATTCCCTTTTGTTCACAATGAAGCACATCCATTTGGGAAAGGAAGAGCATTGCAACAACATTCCTATTTCAGCTAGTCTCCCTTTACCAAAAAAACAGCTGGGAAAACGTGCAGCAGTTTTAAGGTTATCTTTCTCCTACACGTTTTGGGTATTTATTTCCAGAGAAAGAAATGGCTTTGTGTTTCATTTCCTTCCCCCCACCAAAAAAAAGTTATAATTTCCAGTCTGGTAAAACTCTTCCGAATTATACATTTTGAGCAGCTAAAAACCTGTTGCAGCCAAAATCTGGGATTTGGGAGTACATTGGAATAGCCACCATATTTCATCGAATCAAAGATGTCATTCGTACACTGTGAGATGCATCCAGATTCCAGAGATGTGAAAATGTGGGGAAAATGTCTTCAGTTTGGTGTGATACAGCACAGGGTTTTTCTTTTTAATTCCGAGCCAACAAAATATAGGCCACTTTCTCACCTCCTCTGAAAGGGCTGCTGTTGGACTTATATATTCTTTTCAAATGAAATTTTTCTTTTAGAAAAAAATTAGGAATTCTATTACATTTCTGAAAATAACAGTGTTGGTTCTTTCATATCTCTCTAAATCAGGGTTGGGACTCACTCTGAACTCACTTCAGAATTATGTTTACTTTCTTGGTTCACAGCCCATGTGACTCTTGCTATGTGAAGACAATTTTCCAAATGTGAGCTCTTAAATGTGGACTATATTATTTTGAGAGGAAACTGATAAATTAAAAAATAATAAATATATAATTTATTAAAGGTTATATAATGTTAAAGTAGATAGTGTATAATTGTTACAGTAAGGGAGATACGTCATTGCAAAAAGCTTGGGATAATATTTTTTCATTTGTAAGACTATATTAGGTATATCACTTAATCATAAGATTTACATATTTTTCTCTTATAAATTGATATTATATTTTGATAGGTCTTAATTTTCTTCTTTCCTCCATTTCTTCTTATTTGTACTTGAATAATCTTCTGTGTCTATTTTTTTCTAGATTACTGTCTTGGATGCAAAGCGGAGCATGAACATTGGGATATTTCTTAAACAATTTAAGAAGTAAGATTTTTGCACACAGTTGCAACTTCAGTCATCTCCATGCTTGTCAGTGTTGGGGTCCGTGGGTGTGAGCTGAAATTCAGAGAGGAGTAATGAGAGAAAGTCACCCCTCGTGCTTTCAAATTCTTCTTAGACACGTGGCTTCGATGAATCCACAAGTGTCACATTGTGCCTTCTTGAAAACCCAATCTGGTGGCTTGGAATACAGGGAAAATGGCCCTGGGCTGTCGATTCAAACCTGTCATGTCAGGGAATGTATAAATTCATCCACAGTGTTGTCCCTTGAGCGGAGGTCAGACTGGTGATGGAACAGTGGTGAAGTTCAAGTGTTCCCAAGTGGAAAGGAAGGGGTTCTGCTGGAGCTTCAGGAGACCAAAGGGGATAGTTTCTCCCAAAGAAAACTCCTGTGGTCCTTGCCACTTGGACCTTTCTGGGGTGCCCAGGGTGGTTTTCTGGGTGAAGGGGCCTCCGAGTGGGGTTTCGGGATCCCCACTGTCTCTGGCAGTGGCTCTGTAGTGATCACTAACACAAAAAACTACCCATTAGACTGGGAAGAAGGCGGGATTGAAAGTGGGGCGGAGGTGATTTGTTTTAATTTCCACTGGCTTGTGTTTCTTTGGCTCTCCAGCGAGCGTGGAATGCAGTCTGACTAATTGTCTTTTCAAGGTCTCCTCAGTCCATTGTAGAAGATATCCATCAAGGAAAGAGTGAGCATTATGGATCAGAGACATTGCGAGAATTTCTTAAACTTTTGCCAGAGTCAGAGGAGGTAAGGAATTTGGCGTGGGAGTTTTAGATGTTAGGGGTGGTGATAAAAGCTTCACGTTTGTAGGAATGTCAGACATCACATGGGACGGGAACTCTCCTACCCAGAATCAGAGTTTTCTCATGTAAAATTAAGAAGTAACCCAACAGAAAAGAGGATGTGTTATGGAGTTGGAGAGTCTAGGTTTAAATTAGAGCGCTACCCTTAACTGTGGAACTTGGGCAAGTTTCTTAACTCCTGTGAACTTTAGTTTTCTCACCGATAAAGTGAGTGTCTGATGCTTACACCTCATTGGAGAGTCAAGATAAGTCAACTGCAGGTACATGTCTCAGGTGGTGCTTGGGCGTGCGGAAGCCGGACAGATCCTGCTTCTACTTCCTGTCTTCTGGCGGTGATCCTCGCCTAGGGTATGCCTGGGTTCTGTCACCATACATATGCTTTAGAAAGAAATAAAGACAAAAAACCCACTTTTGGATAAAGATGTTCTGAAATGTGGAGAGGTAGGTGAGTTGTTCATGGGTGCTCTCTGGTGACTGATGGAAAGGTGGAGGTTGCTGGGGTCTCAGTCTAGTGCCGCCTAAAAGTTCCTTCAGGGGCCTGCTAGGAAAAAACAGGACAGTAATTTTGTCAAGCTTTCCAGAATTGTAGTGTTGCCTTTTATTTGTGAAGAAAGGGCTTTGAAGACAATTCTATAAGAAATTACATGAATATCTGTGCTTGTGAACATTTGAGTAATATAAAGTAAAAAAGTGTTATTACCCTTTTACACATACTGCCCCCTCCTCCCTCCCTGTCCTGCTGTTCTTCCCACACATGACTGATGAACTTGACATTCCCTTTAATAACAGCAAGGGAAATGCATTTATACTTTACATCAGTGATAAACTCACCTTGGCCCCTCTCTACCTTGGATGTTCTGTTTGCAAACTAAGTGTAATTTATCTTAGCCAACATTAGTGAATAGCATTTATTAATGTTAATAAAAGGGTCTTAAGGTACTGAGGGAACAGGACATCAAATCATAATTCACCCAGATCTTACTCACTGAACACTCTTTACTTTTTCTTTTATTTAAAAAGAATGGGAGTTCCCCCACATTTTTAAATTAGGATGAACGTGGCAAAATTAATTTGGGTTTTAAACAAAGATTTAGTTTTTCCTCAGCATCGTATTCCAGCCTGGGTTGTTCCCACGACTGCCCTCAGGACTGCTGTGGCGCCCACCCAGAACCGACCTGAGCGTTCTTTCTCAGGGAAGGTCCTACCTGCCGGCGCAGGTGGAAGTGCTCTGCCAAGCTCTAAATGTCTCACCAAGCAGAGCTCAGGCATGAGGGAGGCTGCCAGCTTCATGCCACAAAGAGGTGGGAGATTAAATGGGGTTTTCTTAATACCCTCATTTCTAACTTAAAATTCAAAGGTGATTCCAGAATGCAAAGGCGGTAGAAGACTAAGGGATTTTTCATAGAGGCAACTCCACTGTCAATCCTCTCGTGTTTTAAAGAACTCTGTTGTTTTTTGACTTGTGTGTGGGATATAGTTTAAAGGGAAGACAGTTAAGGGCAAGGTGATTAAAACCCACCCAAGGCTTCCCTGCATCACGAGGTGCTCTCACCCTCCGGCTGCCAGCTGAGCTTGGGATCCTGAAGTGCCTTCCCAGCCCAGCTGTCTCTCCATCACCCTCCCCTGCGGGTCATCCTCAGTCCGAATATCTGACAAGCCCGGCCACCCTCCTCCTTGTTTACATTACTGACTCTTGGCTACAGCTCACCACACCCTCCAAACTGAACTGGGAGCTTCCTTCAGCAGGAACACCCTGACAGTCCCCAGGGCCACATGACACCCCTCCCTAACACGCTCCCCGTGAAGGCCGGAGCCACCTCATGACCCAGGCTGGCTGTGAGGACACATGGGCTGTGCTGTGGGTGCTGTGTGGCCTCTGTCACCATGCAGGCCCGGGCCGACCCTGGAGCCTTTGGTGGAGGGAGGAGGGTGGAGATGAGGCCAGGAGGCGGGGCCGAGTGAGAGAGGTTTAGGAATGTGACAGAAATATGCTAGTAAATGCATAAGTGTACACGTAACCGCATGTTGCTGAGCCTGAGGCATAATGTTCTGTGCTCATTTTTAGCACAAGATGGGACTGAGTGTTAAAGTTGAATGCCCCCATGTTCCAGGTACTGGACAGGGCAAAAGGGCAAAATTAAACCAGGCAAGATCATGTATGTCAAGTGCTTAGCCCAGTGGCTGGCACATAGAAAGTCAGTAAGTCATTGCTATAATTATTTAGTTTATTTTCATTGAATCCTCACAGTGACATAAGATGTCCTCATTGTACAAGTGAGAACCTGAGTCTCCCATGGGGTAGATGGACCAGGTCTAGTGTCCCACGATGGGCTGGCCATGGAGGAAGGTGGTGTGAACCCAGGTTTGTCTGACCCCAGGGCAGTCCCTTATGCTGCACTTGGAGGAAGGAAGGAAGGAAGGGCAGAGGTTCTCAAAACTCTCAAAAGTTCTCAGGGGACCTCACAGCCTTTTCGTCACCTCTGCTATCACAGAGCGCCGTTGTGAGTGTCACCTAGATCCCCCTGTGATCTTACCAGCAGGCGGAAAAATGTGGACGGGAAGAGGCCTTTTCTCCTCTGCGTTCTCCGCTGACAGGCCAGCCCAAGGTTAATTTGTGTTCAGGAACCCTCTGCCCTTCGCCACAAATCTTTTATCTGGCATGTTTATCCATCTTGCCTGAAATTCATGGTTAAAACTGGCAGAGGAAAAGGGTAGATCCAGATACGACAGAACTGGCGTGCGCTGTCCGTCTAGCCTGGTATTCTTGTGCCCCGAGAGGAGACTGGAGCAGAAGCCAGGTGGGCAGAGGAAGGGACCCCTGCTGGGCTGGGTAAGCCCTTCCCTGGGACAGGACAGCCGTACCCTGTCACCATCTCACGGTCAGGGATATGGGGCTGGAAGGTGGTAGAGATGTTCTTCTCTCTCTGGGGGCAGATTGAATTGTTTCGTCTGATGTCTTATCACCTCATTCCTTCTTTTTTTTTGTTTAGTTTGCCCCTGGAAGGGGAGGAGGACTGTGGAGAAGCCCCAAAGTCTTTCCTTTGTCTGTGGGTGGGAACTCCTGCTATTTCAAGGCCATGTGAGTGGAATTAGATGGGATGGAGGAGTCCTGCCCTGAGGAATGTGTGAGTCTGAAGGAGCGTGCTGTTTGCCGTGGGGACAGGTCCGGCCACAGCCAGGTCGTAATGAGAGTCACCTGGCTCAGCCGACAGCACTGTGCCCAATGGTGTTTGAGAAATGCTCTCTGATGACGATGAGAATGCATACTAATTACAGGGTTGGTTCGCCTTTTGCTATGACCTCCCTGCCACTGTGAAGTTACAGTAATCCCCCTTAATGAACATAAATCCCATTTTGAAATGGAATTAAGAACTGTATACACGGCATTTAAATCAAACACTATCTTTTCATCACCATTCTCTTGAAATCTAAACATTTTTAGCTCTTTTACCTAAGTGAAGGAGATTAATCCTTGCTCAGTTACAGTTTAGCACATGTCAAAGTAAAACATCTACAAGATTCCTTAGCGTGACTTGCTCTAACGCTTCAGACAGAAAACTGCTGTTATTTGCAGCAGTTTCGCACATGCTCGCATGCATGGTCTTGTAAGAGGCCCGCCCTCTCTCTGCCCCCATCCATGTGTAGTGCATTGTGAGGCTCGCTCAGGAGGGATCAGCAGCCATCCCGTAGCTTTCTCAGTTCAGAAACCGGGCTCTGACTGGGGCTTAGCTAAGCCGGAGGTTCCATCTGCCCTGTAGTAAGACTCAAAATGGTAAAAATCACTTTGGGGACCCAAAGGTAGGGGGAACAGTGCAGTTCTATCAATGGCTATTTTCTGTCCATCGAAAGAAGAAAATGGAGTCTTAAGGACCAGATCAAAACTGGGTTGTGCATGTGCACTGTTGCCTTTCTAACGTCAGGGAGTTGGTGTAGGTACTTCAGTTTGTGGATCTTTAGATCTCTGCCAATATTTCCCCCTCTGTGGTTTTGAATATCACTTCCCATTTTTCAAGAGGCTTAAAAAATCATATTATTTCTATGGGCAGCCAACATCATCCAGGGGTGGATGAGAGATTTGTGAAGGATAATAGAAGCTGGTAAGCAGCAAAGGTAGGCTGTCTACTTGAGTAGTCGTCTCAGTGCCTACTTAGCATAAATTGTTTTTGTTGGAAGACTCAGTGGACGGAGAGGTGTTTTGGCCATCAGGTCGGTCCCTCTGCCCGTGTCAGGAAGGCGTGGCTTGCTCTCTGACGTGGAACAGAACTTTCTTTTCGCCTCCATCCCCACCTGCTTAGCCGTTTGGCTACATTCCTGTCTCAGAACTCGGAGCTCTTTCCGATACTCAGAGGAATATTTGTGTGTTCAATAACTTTTAGCTTAATGTTTTACAAGAATAATGCGTGTTCCTTGTGGACATTTTAGAAAATAAAAGTAAGCAGCAGAAGAAAATAATTATCACTGGAATCCTATCCTTAGTGTAGGCGGGCCTTTTAGGCCTTTTCCTGTGTATGATTGTGCACGGAGGCTGGTGGGTGGACGGACTTTAAAAATAAAATGATAGGAATGGGATCCTATTGTATTTACTTTGGTATTGCCCGATTCTTTCATAGCGGGATCTGTTGACACTGATCTGTTAGGCCATGTCCCTCTTTATCTTTCCACTGGAGAGGCAGAGGGTACTCTGCTCAGCGTACAGTGGTCCCTCCCTGTAACGTTAACGTATGTGAAGGGAACTTGACCACAGAATGATCTGCATTAGACTTTAGACAGTGTAAGCATTTTATATCCCAAATACTAAAAAATAATAAGAATTTGTTTTCACTTTCGACTTCAGTGCCATATTACGACAACTGCTCAGCCTCTCTTTTCTTCTCCCAAGCAGGGGTCTCCCTGGCAGGTTATAACGTGCAGAAAACAGTCGTTGTTAGAACAGCCCTTTCTCCGCCTCCCTTTCGTAGCCTCGCCCAGGATCCCAGCTCTCTGGTTGGAGTGGGATGGTTCACACCCACGCAAGTGACGCGGCTCTTCTCTAATTTTTTTGTTTCTTTGGGGTTTCTGCTTTTACAAACCAGACTACTAGATGTGATGATTTCCTTCCCTGTCGTTCGTAGGTCCCCACTTTTACTAGTTTGAATTTAGCACTGAACTCCTATTTGCTTACAGGAATTCTAAGAGGAAATGTAAAATCATGGTACATTGTAATCATACGGTTTTTTTTTTCTCTACCCCCTTTTCCCGTTTGTCTTTTTAGATACAGAAATTAAAAACATTTAGTGGCGATGTGTCCAAGCTCTCGCTGGCGGACTCCTTTCTGCACTGCTTAATTCAGGTGCCAAAGTAAGGACCGTGGGTCATTGTTCTTTACAGACTGAGGTTTCTCAACCAGTGACATCAGAGTTTATCCTTTGATTTTTACTTTTCAGCTATTCACTTCGGATTGAAGCCATGGTGCTAAAAAAAGAGTTTTTACCCTCTTGTTCTTCTCTGTACAAGGATATAACAGTTCTAAGAACTGCTATAAAAGGTAGGTAAATTCATGATGCTTCATGTAAGTGGTTTTTTATTCATTTGGGTAGCAGTTTATTTTTAAAAACTATTCAATTGAAATTAGAAATGCAAAGTCCCATCTCTGGTGCACCCTAAAAAGGGACATGAGATGTTACTAAGGACGGCATTTAAGGTGTATCTACTTTTACTCCTCTCCAATTAGTTAATTAATGGAACAATCAGGTGATCAATTAATTAGCATCTTATCCTCCCAAAGAGAAGGTTTCTTTCAGGCTGGAATGAACCTTGCTGTGTGCAGCTCACTCTCACTCCTCCCGAAGGTTTGCTTCCTGTGTGTGTGTGGTCAGGGTGCCTGTGTGTAGACGCGCCCTTGAACCAGCCATGTCTCTCCTCTGTTGGTGTTTAGGACCCTGCTTTTCCAGCAGACCCCCTTTCCTCCTGACCTGCTCCTGGGCAGCCCGTGTGACTCTCTCGTCAGGGTTCCTAGCGCCCCTCCCCCACCCCACTCGCCTCCCTCCAGACTCTGACAACTGGCGGGCTCACTACATGTGGGAGGGGTGAGATGGCCATTTCCATTTCTTTGAACAACTTGCTAAATGTTTTGGCTTACCCAGCTTGGGTAGGCTGCTCAGAGTTGCTCTAATGTCTCAGGCCACGGTGGTGGGAGCCGGGCTTTCTGCCGCTTGCCACCCTGAGCACGCAGGCCCGGCCCGGGCGCGGTTGCCTCCTTGTCCTGTCTGGGGCAGCCTCTGGCCCTCCCCGACGCTCACGCTTCCCCGCATTCAGCAGCACCACCCTCATTTCCTCTCAGTCATTTTCTGGATTTCTACTTATTGCCCAGAACTGTCCACTCCTGTTTGGGTTTCCCTTTTAGTTGCTCCAACCTGTCAGCCTGTTATAGTTTTCTTCATTTTAGAAAGTAGACTAAGAATTTGGAATTTTTCTTCATTCAGTCTAGAGGCCCTTTAAAATTTCTTTCCAGACCCGGGGTTTTGCAGCGACTTCAGAGGGGTTGTTCCAACGGAGATGGAAAAACATGTTTTCACAGGGAGCAGGCAGACATGTGCGCGGGGAGACGTGTCTTATCTGCTTACCCTTCAGAAACTGGCCCCCCTAGATAGCACGGTGTAGGCAGCGATCCAAGTGCAATTTTTTTAAAGTAATACCAGGCTTCAGGGAGAACATTAACGTAAAAATACATAATAGGCGACATTTTATATATTATCCCTATATACTGAGTTTTAATCATCAAACTTTTTTAGCCTTCCAGATACATGAACAGTTTTTGATAATTGCGCATTTAACAATGACTTGTGTAGGTTTATATACAAAAGATTCTGTAATTAAAGAGGTAATTTACCACTATATTACAATGACAAGTTTCTTTTTAAGCCTTTAAGCCAATCCAAATGAAATGCATAGTTTTAAATAAAATAGGAGAATTCTGTGGGTGCTGGGCCTCTAAGGGTTAGTGCTTTGCAACTTACTGACATGTCATCCCAGCCTGTTTATTTTTTTATCTCCTCATGGTTCATGGACTACGCAAAATGTCGCTCACCGTTAGTTTGCATATTCCATACGTGTAGTCAAAGGCTAGTGGATGTAAGGGGAAAAAAAGTAACTGCTGGGAGAAAACTTATTCCCATAATACAGTGTACTGCTTTTTGTACGGCATTTTGCATTTTCCACTACTTGAATAATTTTAGAGTTGAAGTATTTTTGTGATATTTAAGGGTTGTACATATTTGATTCCCAGTTCAACACCAGGATGTGGACGGGCAGTAACCAATGCTGCATTAAGAGACACCATAGGTGTGCTGCTTTATTTGAATTTCTCAGTCTTTGAGTGCAGTTCAGGGTCAGACCTTGCTTCAGATACCCTTGAACTTGGATGTGGTAGCCGGTTGCTGTCTTTTCTGCATTTAAGCTGAAGGCTTCTCTAAGGCCCCGTGGTGTGTTCTTTTTGACAGAGCTCATGTCTTGTGAGGAGCTACATTCGATATTACACTTGGTGCTACAGGCGGGAAATATCATGAATGCAGTAAGTAAAACTAAAAAAAATGAAAATGTTGTGTCTCCAACTTTATTGGTCTGCCTAAAGATAGATGTGTATTTTTTTCTTCTGATTTGTCTTTTTTAGGGAGGATATGCTGGCAACGCAGTAGGATTTAAACTGTCCTCTCTGCTCAAATTGGCAGACACGAAAGCCAACAAACCTGGGATGAACCTTCTGCACTTTGTTGCCCAGGTACGGGAGCGATGAATGCGGAGAGAGAAGGTGTGCGAACCCCCCCCACCCCCAAGCAGGCCGTGCAAGCAGGCCGTGCAGCTTTTTCCTAGGCGTGAGGTGGCGGCAGAATTGGGAAAGGGCGTGGTGGGCTCCAGGAAGGTTCTTTGTGCAGAAACACTGTTTGCAAATTCAGGAGCTGAGCCTAGGGCTGGAGGACTGGAGGGAGTGAAGTGTTGGCGGAGTGAGGGGAGGGTTGATGAAGACAGACTGTGAAGGATTCAGATCCTCAAGCTAGGGGAATTCGGATTTCAGGCTTCAGCGGTGCGGAGCCAACCAGAGTGTGTGTATATAGCATGGTATGAGTAGGGTTTTTGTTTTCATTTTTATGAAAACAAGGCCATGTGGAGGGTGCCTTGGACTGGAGAGAGAACTAGAAACCTGGGTTCCTCTTGGTGGCAGTTGACACTAATTCAGTGATGAGAGCTGAGAGGATGGAAAGTGGAGGCCTGGGTGTGGAAACATTTCTGATGTTGAATTGAAGATCACTTCCCCTTTTTCCCTTTGTGAAGCATGGCTGAGAGTGTCAAGCAGCGAGCCCAGAGTTTAGACTCACGAGCTTGTCCATCACTCCCGTTTTTGACTGGGTCTCTGTGATGCCAAAGGAGCTGGTTACAGAGTGAAAAATTGGCCACAGACAGTTATCTCTTTGTTGTGAAATTATCTCAAGTAACAAATTGTTCTGCTTTGTTTCTCTTTCATTGGACTGCTGTGTTGTTTTGACAGCAAATACAAAGACTGGAGCTTTAGTCTGGGGAAGAAGCTACGTCATGTGCTGGTTTCCAGCGGGAGCTTCAGAACAGGGCAGAACTGAGAGGTTTCGACCTGGTTTATTAGCTGTAATTCCTCACCCAAGTTATTTAAACCTCAGATCCTGAAACTCTTCATCTAGTGATGGGGGAGTGATACTGTAAAACCAGGTAACCGAGAGGGCTAACAGATAATCCCATCAAGTGCTTAGCTTGATGTTCAGCATGTATTACATTACATTCTCCATAAACAATACATTCAATTATTACTGTAGTCTTCAGAAGATGGAGGCCATGTTGACCTCAGGACTAATTTAAAAGTTAATTTTCAGGACGTTAAAATCAGAAAATATGTTCTTCCTCCCATGCACCTTGCAGGGAGTCTTCTGGCAGCCCTTTTAGATTTGTGTATCCAGGTGTGCTCTGTGTGACTTGGTCCCTGCCCATGTGGGGAAGTTTCCAGGGTTGCCAATTGGTTCCCTTATACCTGCCTTCCTCATGCCCAGTGAACAGGTAGGGAATCCAGAATCTCCCTGGCTTGCGCACCTTCTCATTAAACTCAACTAGCAAACTGGTTTGACAGCTGGCTGTATCTCAGTTGTTTGAAGGCACGCTCGAAGGTATGGGCGGTATTTAAGCAGGATGTATCGGATTCTCTGGGAAATAATGGGCACTGCTCAGCCACCACCTCTTTCCACTGAGTTTTCAGGCACATTTGTTGTATTCCATGTCAGAATCAGTTGCTCTTGGAAGTCAAATATATCTCGAGAGTCGTGGCTTTCTGGTAAATCTTACTAAGAATATCAGAGCTCCTAGTTCAGGGAGTTGCTTTGAAAGTGTCAAGCACAAAAACAGGAACGCTGATTTTAAGGTTCCTTTAAGCCCTGAGAAAATTATTTCCTTCCAGTTCTATCTGTATAATAAGAAAATTCTGGTTTTGTTCCAGGAAGCCCAAAAGAATGATGATGGTCTTCTCCACTTTTCTGAAAAGTTACATCATGTTCAGGAGGCTGCTAGGTAAGCTAGGAAGACTGAAAGTGAATTGTGAAGATTTAAGGGTTTTCTTTTTTAACTACCTTCTTAGGGAAACGGATGACTATTTTATAGCATCTGGATTCAAGTGTGAGCCTTAAAACGTTTGTCTTGTTGAACTTTCCGACCTTACTTTCATTTAGTTACAGAGGTGTGTGTGTGTACACCTTTGGAATTTGGAGGGTGTTGAAAAACTAATCCTTATTTTAACCTAGAAAAAGACCTATTACCATCTCTTCCAATGAATATCATCGGTGTAAAAAAAATATGGATTAAGAACTTCAAATCCCTCCACACCCAACAGATAGAGCTCAAACAACACAGCCTGTTACCTCGGGAGCCGGTGCATCACCAGTCCCACCTGCAGGACTGTACCTCGTGTTTGTTTCCTTGTAGAATCTAACATGGTCCATTTATTTTCTATCACATTAGAAGTTGGAAGGGTACCAAGGGCCGTGAAAGGATTTTGTTTTAAATTAGTCACTCAGCTTTACAGAGAAAGTGTCCACCGAGCATAAAGCTCTACTTGCAATACCTTGAGTTTCTTGGGTCCTACTACAGGTGTGTATTTTAATATAGCTATAATCTGTGTCTGTGTGCCATCTCAAGTTCTGCGTTTTTAAATTTGAGGTACACATCTCTGCATCAAAGCGGTAAATGTGCAAAAAAAGCAGCTTTTCAGGGGAGAACAGAGTTCTGAGTTGTATTGTTTGCCGATTTCCACAGTGTAAACACTGCTACCGTGGCTGACTTCAAGCTGGCGTGGTGTCACTGAAGTGAAGTCGGAAAGGATGCCTGTGCTCCGCTCGCCTCTTCCGATCTGGCTTCCGCACACCACCAGCCTCGTTCATAGGCTCATGTGCAATAGGGTTTATTGCATAGACTTAATCATCCGAGTGACTGTGTCCAGTTAGGACACAGACCACATGCATAAGCACATGAACCATCAATTCTCAGGCCCAGCCCTGTCATTGGCCAGTGCCTCAGTGTTATGGCTGTGAACACAGGTCACATGCCTTTCCCAGAGTGAGGTTATCAGTCCAAAGGTGTGAACAACTTAATAGTTCATGTTAATGGATCACCAGATTATCCCCCCAAGAGAACGAGCACCTTTCTTATAAGATACAAGCTGTTTTGGTTTTGAATTACTATAAGAAATTTGTGTGGGAATATTTTTTTCCTCTGACTAGTATAGAAATGTTACCAACAGAAATAGAGAAATAGCCATTACATTTGTGAACTGACAGTTCTGGACAGAGTTAGATGGGGAAGTTTAGCAAGCTATTTATTGTCTTAGAAAAAATCCTGTTCAGTAATGTCAGTTTATTTGAAGTGGAAGGCAAAGTACCAACAGATTGTAGGCGGGTGTCAGCAACCATTGAAGGAGGAAGATTTATTGCATAAAGAAAAGTTAAAATTGACAATGGCATCCTGAAAGCATCCTAATATATGAATTTGCTAATTGACTTCCCCCTGGATTTTGGGGGCTCATCTCTTCACTTTACTGATGAAGACAAAAACATCATGTATGCTCTACTGATGTGGATTTGGTGTATGTAACAAAAGCCTTTACAGAATTGCTAGTTTTGTCGTAAATACAGTGCTTACTCTGGCTGTCAGTGTCAAGTGACATGATGTCAGCTCAGTATCTCCATGTCGGCCTTAACGTCAGGATTATCAACAACATGGGCTGCCTTGCTTTTTGAGAGTTAGCCCCTCTGTGTTTTTGTTTATCGGCCACAGGAAACTGTCTGAGCCCCACGGGTGTTTGTAATGCTTATTGCATGAGGACGTGCAGACAAGGCCCACGGTTTGGGCTGCCAGTGAGGACACAGTGGCATGCAGCCCGTTCGCTGACCAGCGTGTGTCTCTAGGAAGGCCTCTCCTCTTAAAAAACAGCCCAGGAGGAAATCTGAGCGCAGGGGTAGGCCAGTGTAACCGCAGTGGCTCGCTCCCCTTGTGTTTGGTGTGGTTTCCGCCCAACTCCAATTTCTTTGATGTCTTACTTAGTAGAACACAGTGGGACCCTGGTAACTGCTTTTGCATTCAAACTGATAGGTGACAGCCAATTTGTGTGTGGGTTTTTTTTTACATTCGATATTACTCGTATTACTGTCAGGCGTACCTCCCCTTCCCTTTTTAGGTTGACCAGCAGTTAGACTTCTTTGATGGACCCACATGACACGTGGCTTTCCTGTTGCCAACAGCCCACTGTCCCCTTTCTTCTTCCAGATTATCTCTGGAGAACACGGAGGCAGAACTGCACTCGCTCTTCGTCAGGACAAGATCTCTGAAGGAGAACATCCGGCGGGATGATGAGCTCTGTCAGCAGATGCAAGACTTCCTTCAGGTCTGTGGGTGACTCAAGTCCCTTCATTTCATCTCGCGGCAGCTCTTCCGAGGCTGGTTAGATTTGCATGGGTGTGTTTGGGGAAGCAGCAGGTTCCCATTCATATCTTTCCCACCCGTCAGTAAAAGGAACTTCATATTTCAGTGCTCGTTCTCTGCTGGATTGTTTTTGAGGAAAGGGCAGTGAATGTGGCCTAAACGTGCTAAGGTATTTGTTAGGGGGTGGGCGCAGTTTGTCCCTGTTTGATGTTCACTATCGTGCCGTGCTGCAGTGGACCAGTATCAGTTTATGGTGCCTACTTAACCCTGGTGTTGCAATTCGTGGTTCTGAATCGTAGTTCCGGGGCTCCAGTCTCCCCGTTGATCTTGTGGACAACAGAACGAAGTTCCGTGGGAATGCTAAAGACACCCGAGGACCTGGGCTGTTGTTCCTTCGCTGTGTTTACTGAAGACACAAACTGTGTTCTGGCATGTTTTCTAATGAGAGCAGCAGAACACGATTGCCATGCCTATCACCACCCGAAATGCATCAGCCCAGCAGGGTGTAGCAGGCGCTGCCCCGAATAACAACAGAAAGCCACCAAGTGGACGTGTTTGTGGCAGCTCCCTGTGACTCACCGATCACACAGTCTGACATACTTTTATCTGCCTCATTAAAAAAAAGAAGTGGCACCTTTTTCTGCTCTCAGTCCTTGGGGAGGTGGCGTGCCACCTTAAATGTCAGTGCTCGGGGGGTGAGCGTGGTGGCGGGGCCGCCCTCGGCCCCAGGAAGGGGCCCGCTGCTCCCCAGGCCGTTCCAACCAAAGCCTTTACTCATTGACTCGTAATTAAGCTGCAACGATTATGAGCTTCAGCTTCCATCAGCAAACACTGGATTTTGTTTGGCTCTGTTGGAATTTTATTTCTATTATTAAACATGTTCTATGTTTTCTTTTACATATAAGCAGTCTCTGATTTTCCCCTTAAAGGGCACAAGTTTTTCTCAAAGAGTAACCACGCCAGCACACAGGCACCCCACAGTGGGTGGGAAACACTGAGCGGTGGGCACGTTCCCACAGGTGAAGCCCATCCAGAAAGTCAGGGGTTCCAGATGCCTCGCTCCCCCGCTCTTACATCAAATCAAATGTTAGTATCGGGTGCCGAGCAGCCGAGCAGAAAGGTTTACAATGAGGAGCAGCTCTGTCTCGGCTGCCCCCCCGGGCTGCTCTTCAAAGGCAGCCTCTTTTAACTCTCAACACTTCTTTCTGGTAGTCGTTTTTATCTCTGTAAGTAAAAATGTCCACCCAGCCGTTTCATTTTCTTTCTATTCCTTGAAATAGGGAAGATACAATTAAAAAATTGTTTTTAATCTTCATCCAAAGATATGTTTTCATTGATTTTGGCGACAGCAAGGGGGGCAGAGAGAGAAAGAGCAAGACATCCATGTGAGAGAAAAATATCAGTTGCTTGCCTCCCTCACATGCCCGGATGGGGAGCAAAGTCACAACCTTCCCGTATGCTGGACTGAGGACGAGGCTTCAGTTAACTGTGCCACCTGACCAGGGCGAGACACAGTTTTGTGAGGCAGGTCAGAGTTGGGCCAGGAAGGGCTCTGAATGCCAGTCTGCAGACTTTGTACTTTGTGCTCTAAGCTGTGGGGAACTGCTAGAGGTTTTTGAGCAGAAAAACGACAGATCTCTTTCCATCTTTTGACCAAGTGGGTGAGAAATACCAAGGAGACTGGTTTGGAACTTCGGTCCATGGCAGACAACTTAGAGGTGGAAAGCTGAATTTGCTACCACACCTGCTAACCGGTTGTCATTCATGTGTTGCGGGTGTTCCTGGCCCTGTCGTGATATCACTCAGAAGGCAACTTCTGATGAATAACTCTGAGCCTGGTGACTTGTCAGGTCCATGCTCAGGGTGTTCCACGTTCCCAAGTCCTGCGGGTGACTGCAATGCATTTAAGTCATTCCTCCCCCTTGTCCCCGCAGTCCCCTCTCACTCAAACGATGAGACACATGAGATGGATGGAGTAAACGCCTGTGTACATTCTTGTCGAGAGTCCTATTTTTCTGCAGTTGAGCTGTTCTTGGCCAGAATCCATCTTTCCTTCTTCGGAAGAATGACAGGCAAAGATCTGGCCTTTCATTAATACCCTTCTCTCCGTAAAGAAAAACACAGTGTGAATGCATGCACTGCCTCAGGCTACTGACTCAGGTGGTTACTTTCTCTGGTATTCGGTTTCCTAAATAGTTTTGGTTCCTGCCACCTCTTGAGTCTGTTTGGTGTAAGAAGAGGGCTTTTAAGGGGGAGAGCGGGAGGTGGTGCGTCTTCTCGGCACTCTTCAGGCTCAGTGGCTCTCCAAGCACGTCAAGCAGCGATTCGACTCCTTGAGGGTGGACAGCCTGTGACTTCGCCATTCCCCAGGCCTGTCCCCCCACTCAAAAGGCAGCTTCTCAAATATAAGCCTTCTTTAACACATGATACATGTGGTTTCATAAAGTGATACCCTCCATACCTTCCTCCGTCATGTAAGTGCGGGGAGCAGTGTGAGACTTCAGCGAGGTGCCCGTATTCAGTGCCCGTGGGGCTGCGGCCCCTCGAACCACGCTGCTTCCTCGTTTCGGCTCCGCATCAGCTGTCCCTGAAGCGCCGGCGGGGAAGTGTGTTCGTGCCCCTTGGCCCTGCTAGCTCCCATCCTGAGAGGGTTGGTGAGCGTTGGAGGAAAGCATGCTGCTTTCACTTCATTGCCGAGGCAGTACCTGAACCTGTAGGGGCCTTGGAGGCTTCGTTCTAGAAGAATCAGGAGACAACGAAGAAGTCAAGAGGACAGATTTGCATAGGGCACTGATTCCTAACCGTGGCTACCTCTCAGAATTTCCTGGGGAGTTTTAATAAGATATTGAGGATGAGTCCATCTCAGAACGAGCTACTAAAAGGCCTGAACTCATGTAGACAGAACTCCCCTGCTGACTCAGATAAGCAGCTGGATGAGAAGCCCTGGTTGGGGCCTTCGGGCGTGAGGGCTTCAGTCCTGCCCATTCGGGATTAAATCCGACCTCCCTGTCAACCGAACAGCTCATCAGTACAGCAAGTGACTTCTGGGACCCTAAAGTTAGCTCTTGGCCAGAATAGGACCCCGTTTCACCTATGTCACTTTTCAGTGACATTAGAGGTGAACACTCTGTGGGTGGTGTTCTACAGGCCAAGGCCCCACACAGGCGTTCACCTTACTTCCCAGAGGTTGTGTTTGGTTCGAACTATTTTATTTTCCTTTTGGTTCTAAGTGCACCAGACTTGCAATAAACCTTCCCTTTTCGGAGACCTGAAACTGAGCCCAGGAGCACGTCTTCCCGGGCACCAGCCCGTCTGCTGACTGCTCACCTCTGCATGTGCTTATTTGCTCTCCCACAGTTTGCTCTGGAAAAGCTGACCGAACTGGAACGCTGCAAACAAGAGCTCCAGGAGGAGGCCCACACCCTTATAGATTTTTACTGCGAAGACAAAGAAACCATGAAACTGGATGAATGCCTTCAGATATTTCGAGACTTTTGCATCAAATTCAGCAAAGCGGTCAAGGTACGGAAGGTGGCATCTCTGTGTTTTCTGAGTTGTTGGATTTTTTCTTTCTTTTTTCTCTTCCAGACCCAGCCCTCTTCCCATGGCAGAAAGATGGTGGAGCGTTTCTGGGGTTTGGGGCCCAGGCAGGGTCGCCAGGCTCTGGGCTGGGGCTGGGGGAAGTGGCTCTGCCATCCCTGCCCCCCCCCCCGAAACTCTGAGGCTCATCCCAACCCTCACTTCAGTGCCCTATCAGCATTTTGTTAGTCAGGTTTATTTATGGTGGCAGTCACAATGTTAAAAAGTCTCTGCGAAGCCCCTGAAGGTCTTTATCACCTCCTCCCCAAAAGACAGTCCCCCTTCCAGGAGACCTTGGCTGCAGGGGGAGGACCAGAAGGCCCCTCTCAGTGGTCGGAGCACCGTAGCCATCACCAGGGGTTGCTGCCATGGGAACCCTGTTGCACTCGGCTGCAGCAGACTTGGATATTGTCAGATATCTGGGGTGTGTGCGCTGTTGGTGGTCTGAGTACAACCTTCCGTTCTGATAATCTCTGAGTTTGTTGCAGAAGCCAGAAAACTCTTTGGGGTGCTCGGCTTTGCAAATAAGACTTTCATTTCAATTAAAAACAAAACTTCCCTCCCTTCATTTCCAGTGCTAAAGAGGAGCCTCATACGTGGGCATCCTCTCTGCCTCTGTATTTCAGGAGCAGATTTGTACACAGCCAGATTCTTTGAGGAATTGGTCAAGTTTCTGTCTGCCCCTAATTGAGTAGGCCAGAGTCCCTCAATTTCTTGATCTTCCTTCCTCTGTGCAGCTAAGAGACGGAGGTTCAGCCTGTGGCCACGTTCACTCTCCCTTGTCCAAGCAGTGAGCTCAGCAGGGAAGGCGGTGGTGGGTGGGAGATGCCAAATTGGCTCCTGTCAGAATTCTGTAGGCTCTCGAGGCCACCTGTGTGACACTCTCAGCCCAGCTGCCCCGAGAGCCAAGAGCTGCCCCACCCCCGAACAGGCAGCCAGCCAGAGCCAGGGCCTCACAGAAACTTGGACAGGAACAGCCACCATTTGAGGATATTGATTTTCAAGTAAAAAGCGCTACCCAGTAACAGATTCGGGTTGTTCTTCCATGACACAAATTTATTTAACGTGCATAGCTAGGCGGTAACGTGTGCTTTGTTGAGTGCACTTGTTCTGGTTCCGTTTTATTGGTGGAGGGCTGGTTGCGTGGAACCGGTAGAAGGATTTGCGAGGCAAATCCTCTTCTCTGATTGTGGGGAGGGCGTGGGGCACAAGGGCCGGAGCCACCCTGGCCTTTCTAGTAGGTCTTGTTGTTTTTTACCAGGGAGCAGTCAGAACAGAGATTTGAAAGGCCTGTCTTAATATCCTGGGTGTACATTTATACGTCCACACCCTTGTCAGGTAGAAGGTGCCGCACACACGTGTGTGCATGTGTGTGTATTGCACGAGCCAAACTAGGTTTCCTTGGAGTGGAGGTCACGGGCACATGTGGAATCACGGCCCACACCGAGGGGATAGTTCCTTGACTGCAAAGCGAGCTGGGCCCCGGGTCCAATGACACCCTTAGACAGACTTTTGGGTTCAGGCGTAAGGGGCTCCTCTAGTCACCCCCACATAGTTCCGGAAGGACCTAGCCTCCCCCCGCACAGGCGTAAATACACACGGTCTCTCTCAGTGACACCCATGGCCCAGCCCTCTCCTCTACACATGTATGTGTCTCTCACTGAAGTCTCGGGATAGGTGGCTCTGCGGTGGCACACGGGTCCCATGTTTCTGATGCATCTTTGTGCTTTTCTCCACTCCTCGTTCAGGACAACCACAACCGGCAGGTGCAGGAGCTGAGGCAGCTGCAGCGGAAGGAGCAGGAGCGGAAGCGGCGTTCCTGGGCGGCTGGGGAGCTCATGGGATTCGGCCGGAGCAGCAGTGAGAATGACGTGGAGATGCTGATCAAGAAGGGCGCGGAGGACCTGCCCTCCTTCCTGCACCGCAGGCCTGTCAGCCCCTCCTACCGGCCCCCCAACACCCGCCGCTCCCGCCTCTCCCTGGGCACCACCGCCGACCGGGAGCTGCTGACCTTCCTGGAGAGCTCCGTGGGCAGCCCAGAGGACCCCAACAAGTTCAATAGCTTGCCCTGGAACAGCCCCCGGCAGGCCCGGCCCACGGTGGCCTGGATGGAGTCTAGGGAGCCAAGGGACCAGGACTCCAAAGGCACACACAGGCCTCAGGCCTCAGAGGGCGAGGCGGGAGCCCCCGACCCACCCTCAGCCTTGTGTGGCCAGCTCCTTGTCCCCCAAATCGAGGAGCCTGCTCCGGTTTTGCTTCGACCTCGGCGTGGCAGACTCAGCGTGCCCCAAAAAAGGAACAGCGAGCCTGTGGGCCTGACATCTCTCTGGTCCCCTCCACTCTCGCCCCTGACTCTGGAAATTAAGGAGCATGAGCTGGTGACTGGGCTGGCCCAGTTCGAGGTCCAGGTTCCCAAGGACCCAGAGGAGGCACCCCAGCAGAACCTGTCCGACTTCAGCCCAGCGGAACTGGTACCTTCAGAGGATGGGGCCCTGCAGCCCCTCAGCACCGGCACTGGTGACGGCAGCCTGACGTCTGAGGGTGCGGGGGCCCAGGGTGGTCTCGGTCCAGCCCTGGACGGTGATAGGCCTGCCCCTGACGAGCCCAGCTTCGACCCTGAGAACAAAGACCCTGGGCCTCTGTCCTGCATCTCTGATGTCACCGATTGCTCGCTCACCTTGGACTGCTCGGAGGAAACCAACTCCAGGCCAGGCGGTGGGGAGGCAGGGGAGAGGGGCGAGGAGGATGGCTCTGTGTCCTCTGGGGTAGGGGAGACGAGTGGTAGCCAAGTGTCCTCTAACCCTGTCTCTAGTCCCCCTGACGAGACCCCTGCTCCCGCCTCTGCGAAGAGTGGGCCTGGCGTCAAGGGTGGTCTTTCCAGGGACAGACCCTCTAAAGGGAAGGATGGGGTGGCACCAAAGAGAAACTCCCTCAAAGAGGTGTCCCAGGGAGCCCCCAAGCCAGGGGCCGCCCCACGAGGCCAGGGGGCGGTGCCCAAGCCCGTGCGGACCCTGACATCCTCGGAGAGTGAGAGCATGCGCAAGGTCGTGCACATCTCCAAGGCCAGCAGGGGCTCTGCGGGCTGGAAGCAGCCCCCTCGGGAGCCGCCCAGCAGCAGCGGCACAGACGCGCCGTGGTCCCGCCGGAACTCTGTAAAGGGCACATCGGACACCTCGCCCAGGAGGTCCTCGAAGGGGCCTGGGGAGGTGACCGAGGAGCAGAAGCCACAGGAGCAGAAGCCACTGCGAGCGAGGCTCGGTTCCGGCAGCTCCCGGCCCGGGAAGGAGCCCACCCTGCAGCCCAGGGGCTCCCTGAAGAAGCCCAGCGCCAAGCCCCTCCGGAACGTCCCCCGACAGAAATCCGAGGAGAATAAGATCTGCCTCCCCAGCTCCCCAGGCCCCGAGAGCCCAGAGGAAGAGCCCAAGCCCCCTCCACCCACCCCCCGCAGCACCCCCCACGTGCCGAGCTTTGCCCGAAACACAGTGGCCTCCTCGTCTCGGTGCATAAAAACAGATTCTTTTCCTGTGAACAAGGCCCCCGGCCTCACTCGGGCAGTCTCCCACCGGCAGCTGAGGGTGAAGAGCAGCTCCGACGACGCGGGCCCCAAGGAGGGTGGCACCTTGCGGCGGGCCAGCAGCACCCGGGCCTCCAGAAAGTGCCCGGAGTCTCCTGAGGGTCCCAGTGCCAACACGGAGCTCTCTCTGAAGGGCAGAGGCACCGGGGAGAGGGCCTCCTTCAGACAGAAGGACTCCAGTCGGACCACACTGGGGAAGATCCTCAATCCCTTGGGGAAGTGACGAGTGCCTGCGCCCTCTCCTCCTGGGCTTCTCATGGGGACCGACTGCTGTGAAGGGCCAGCACCCCATGTCTCTTCCACAGCACGTGAGTCACTGGTGCCACCTGCAAACGTTCACGTCGTTGACCGCACCACCTGCCCTGTGGACTGCTGCCCCCTGTCAAGTCCCCGGTCGCCCCTGTCTCCACAACGCCTTGTGCACACACGCGGGAGGGCTGTGCACGCACATCCTCTCCGACAAAGGCCCGGTGAAAGACTGGGGCGTGTAAGGTGGCTTCTCACATAATGAGCAAAAAAGGAATTTTGGCCAGTTTTTATAGATCAAAGGCTTATTTTTTAATATAAAAATTCAGTGTTTTAGTTGGTTCCTTTTGCAGAGTGAATGCCTCCTGGGGGGGGGGGGGGGAGAAGGCGGAAGAGAGACCGCTTTGTATGAAGATGTTTTTATCTTCCTGCGGTCCCCGGCCTCAGGGTTCCACCTGCCCACCCACCGTCCATTGCTGGCAACTGGACTTCTTCCCAAGCCCTGGGTGTTCTGGGGTTGGCTGTGTCCTGGAAGACTCTCTGCCTTGTGCACCTGTACCTGCGTGACTTTGGGTGAGGGTTTGAGTGTGAGCAGGAGGGAAAGTGCGACCTGTGGGTGGAGATTGGTGCTCCTGCGAGTTCAGGGGGCCCTGGGGACAGTGGGATGTGCACTCAGGGACGTGCCTCCCTGCAGGCGGGTGGCAGTCCCTGTGGAGTGTTGGGTCTTTCAGAATTTAGAAGACATCGGGGGCCGTTCAGCTGATCACACCTTTCCCATTCCTTGTTTTCCTGTTCGTGTGTTGTCTGTCGTACACCTGATGAAAGCTGCTATGACTTGTGTTCGCTGCAGGTACAGGTGAGGATGAACCTGCCTGCCCCCCGGTCCTCTCCATCTGCTCCCAGCCGTTCCGTCTTTTCTGACGTGACCTGGATTCTGGAGTCTCTGTCTGGACAGGGAGGGATACTTTTCAATGTTGATGTCTGTTCTTTGGGACAGTGGTTTTGAAATCTGGAGAAAAACCAAATCAAGTTTTTTAAAAACAGACTAAAAAAATGAGATTACTTTTGGAAGAATTTCTATCATCAGGAAAAATGAGGCTTTGGGGAAAAGGCCTCGTTCAAAAGAAAGGGGGGAAACGTGTAGTTTTTCTACTCAGGCCCCACTTCACAACTTCTCTCTGAGACCAGCAGGGAAACCAGGGGGGAGAGCGGGGGGACTGAAGCTTTTCTGGTTTCTACTTTTGGTCACTTGTTAGTGTAAACTGCATTTCAGATCCAACGGTGGTACATGGGTTTAGGCAAATAAGATGTATTCCACTCTCTTTCCTGTACGATGTTACCTTCCAACCAAATGAATTGGAAACTCGCCTTGAATGAATCAGCTAAATTGAAAGGGTAAACTTGATGGTTGAAGACTAAGGCACCTGACCACCCAACCTCTTGTAAAAATAGCCCCGAGTGGGTGTTTCCAGGGCTCCGCAGAGTGGGGTAGTGGGAACCCTGAGCTGTGTTTCACCACACAGACAACAGCATTCAAAACAGGCCCCATGGGGGGGACGGGAGATGGGTGAAAGGAAAAGTTCGAAGGTCTGTGGGTAATGACAGAGTCAGGACTCCTAGGTGAGACTCAAAGGACCAGGGTTCAAGTCCCTGTTCCACGGCTGATACTCTGTAACTTGGGCAGGCCACTCGCTCTCCCCAAGCCTGTTTCCCAGTCTGCAGAGGTTGGGCACAGCCTGCAGACAGGTCTCCAGGGGTCCTGGCTCCAACAGTCCGAGTCATCGTGTCATCGTAAACAACCAAGCACCCCTCCCCGCCCTCAGAAGCAACCCCCAGCACCTGTTCAGCAGGGGCCTCACCAAAGGCCTGGTCAGAAGAAAGCACCTCCAGAACAACTGTTACGTTGAAATTTAATAACCTGGGAAGTGGTGTTTTATTTTACTTAGCCCTGTGGACAACTTCTGCATTTGCATCTGTGCGAGCAGGTGATCATTCTATTACCTTTTATTGGTAGTAAGCTTGGAAGAATAATTTAAGTATATAATGGAGAAATGTAAATAAGTTTCTATATAAAATTGTTTAAGATGAACTGAATGTATTTAAAGGTCCATTTATATGTTCTTTTACGTAACACATAGTTGAATAAAGCTCCTGTTCGTGGGATTGTGTTTTATCCTGGACTTTTGTGGGTGACATCCTGGCAGGGGAGGAAGATGGCGGCTAGGAGAGGGTTGGCCTACAACAGTCTTGTTCTCAGAAGGTTCAAGGGGCAGAATTAGGCCGCTGGTGTGTCTTGGTAGCGCAGAACCTGCACTTAGCCGAGGGCCTTGCGCCAGGCCTGTGGGAACGCAGGCAGGCAGGCATCTGACTTGCAGGCCCTCGGTGGAATGTTCAGCAGCTCGTACACCCTCACAAGACTCCGAGTTTGGGGCAGAGCTTTGTGTAATCTCCACGGGGCCGGCAGGTCTGGATCTGCCGCCGTGTGTCCTCATGTGTTTTGGCTCAGGACGCTATTGAGAAATCACAGCACACCTCCGAGCTGCCTGAGGAATGAGCAGACAGGGAGGAAGGTGGGGTTTTGTTTCAAGTGCAGGGTTGATGCTTCTTTGAAAAGAAAGGTGGGGTAGTGAGTAAGACCCACCTCATACCTTGGGGTTTCATATCAGGTTTTAGTCCTGGCTACTCTCCTGCTTTATCTGGCAATGGGTCAGACTAAGAGGAATTAGCCCTGGGTCAGGCACCAGCGGACGAGAGTGCAGATGACGACGCCCTTGTGAGTCGCTGCTTGCCTCGTGACCCTGAGAGCCTGGTTTTGCCTGCTAAGACCTTCTGTGCTCGCAGTGGGTCTCAAGTAGCTCTTCTCCTCTCCTGTAATGGGTTTCACAGGACCCTGTTTGCTGGTGCTCCACCAGAAGACACCTGTTGAGTTTAAAGGGATCGGTCTCCTAGTGTGCATTCCAGACTCTGCATATTTGTGTGTCATGGTGAGAGGCTCTGAAATAGTGTCGATAGAATCCTTAATCCAACCTCCTGAGGTGTGCAGGTGGCCAACTCCTGCCTCTGTGGGTATGGAACCCTTCCGTCTCCCCTCTGGCAATGATGCTATTTTGCAAATTCAGAGTTTTCTATGGAAGCTTAAACTTTATTCTTAATTCTTCATGATTGCCTCGCTTCATGCTTCAGCCCTACCAAAAAGATTCTTGTTGTTTGGTACGTATGCCCAAACACATACAGGCATGAGTGAGGGACATCGCGTCTGGTTCATAAGTATTTCCTTACACTGTGCCCTGAGCACAAACGAGGCAGGAGGCAGTGGGGCTGCGAGTCACGCCGCTGGGCTGCAGTGGGGTGACAGTGCCTCGCTGGGGCCGAGTCTGCAGCAGGGTCAACACCCAGAGGAACCTCTCACTGCGGGGCTTTTCATCTGCAAACATCTCCTGGTGAAATGTCCCAGGGCTCCCAGGGTCACCTGAGTGAGGACAAAAGCAACATCCCTGCGGCTGAAGATAATGGCTTTTCTGTCTTCCAGGCCAGAGCTCTGCAAGGGGGCACTTGGCTTCCTGGTGTGTAGGTAGGGAAATCGGACCCCACCAGGAGATGAGTCAGGGCCCCCAGCAGCCCTCGCAGTCTCCTCATTGTGGGTGCTTGGCCGGGGGGACCAGGCCAGGGGGGCCACCTGGAGCCCCACCCAGAACCCAGCACAACCACTCGTCCGCCTGTGGGACGAGACGGCTGAGCCTTTCAGTGAGGACTCTCCTTGAGGTGTGCTCGTGCCAGACCTTTGGAGTCAGGGCCTGGGCTTCGCCCCAACCTCCCTGAAGACCTTCAAGAGCTGAGTCATACAAAGCAGTCCCCAACTCAACAGGCAGACGATGTTCCCCAAGTTTGCCGGCAGTGAGATTTGAGGAGGTTGGGACACACATTCCCAGAGCAGCGATGCCGTGCACCAGAGGCAGGTTTCCAGAACAGCCCGCTGGGGACCCAGTCACCCACCCACCGCAGACTGCGGTGCCCACGTCTCCTCGCAGGCGGCAGTGTTTCTGGAGGAAGATGCCAGGGTGCTGGGGGCGTGCCTCCCCTGCTTTGGGACATCACATGGAGGCTGTGGCTGTGCCACCTGAGCACCAGTGATGTTCACAGTCCTCTGCTGAGTGAACAAAGTCTGGCCACACTTGAGGTCAAACACGGGGCTCTCATATGCTTGGCCAAGTCCAGTGAGTGTAGGCCATTTCTCTGTTAGAAACCACCTGATGTCTGTTCCCTCTAATAGAGAGCACACTGGCCCCACAGGAGGGTGGCAGCCCTCTGCTTTCAACTTCCTAAGGCACTGGATCAACCCCACCGCCTTAGCCTCCCGAGAACCAGTGAGAAGATGGCAGGGCTGTGGGGCGGCTGCCCGGGTAGCCGGGGCCATGGCCTCCTGAGCCAAGGACAGCGAGGGCCTGGGTCAGTGGGCAGCTCCAGGGGCAGCTGGATATTCGCTGCAGGGGGTGAGCTCTGTGGGGTGCTCCTGGCCTCTGACAGTGTGAGAGCACCTAATAGCCCCCACTTTCCCACAATGGGGTGTGCTCCAGTGAGCAGCAGAATTCTCCGCAGCTGTGGGTGATTCCTAGACCCATCCCAAGTCAGAATCTTTCTGGTAGGACCCCCAAATTTGCATTGCAAGGAACTACCCCGTGGTTCATTTTCCACCCTGCTGTTGAGAACCGGTGGGCTGGAGAGAGGCCAGAGGCTGGGGCTCTGGGGTGGGGCTCATGTGCTATTTTCCAGCCCGAGCACAGTTGTGTCTTCTCCTGGGTGAGCAGCACAGAGACGATGTGTCTGCCCTCGGCATCCAGTGAGAAGGAGAACTACCTCAGTGGAAACTGAGCAGGTGGTCTGACTTGCATCTTAAAACAGAAGCCCCTGCGACCCTATGCCTGGCCATTCCCATGAGTCTGTGGCTCTGCATGATGCAGCATCAGAGCTTTCGGAACCATGGCACCTGTGGAAGAGAGGAAGTGACGCTTCTTGAGTCTTGTGATGGCTGCCCTAATTCAGTGTCTATGAAGCAGCTTGCTTATAAGTGCTGAACAATGTCACAGCCATCTGAGTGTCCACCATGAGATTTTGTCAGCAAAGCTGCACTTTGGAGCCCAGTTCCCTGGGCCCCTTGGGTTCTGGGATTTTCTACAGCCTTCCAGAGTACGACCTCAACTCAGTTCTTGGGAGCTTTGGCTGGTGGCTGCGGTTCCTTCTCCCACTGTGCACCGGGGCCAGGCAGGCCAGCATCTGTGCTGACCTCACCACTCAGGAAGGGGGTGGGGCGCAGCTCTCCAGGGTGCTGACTCAGTGCTGGCTGGGAGCAGTACGCACGCTCACTTGCGGCAGTCAGAATGCAGGCAGAAGAAGGGACGCTGGAAGGAGCCCCCGCCTCCACTCCCACCCCTTTCAGAGTGTGGAGGTGTTCCCGGGAGGGAGCACTGGGCCCCGGTGCTTTCCAAACCTGTCAGCATAGATTAATTTACGCTTCATCGCTTTGGGCCATAAACTGCCAAATCAGACTGGGAAAGTGGCTGAGAGAATCTGGACAAGTCTTACCACTTCTGGGGACAACCATCTTGCCGGTTTGGGCAGGTGCAGTGGAGGGGGTTTGAGCTATATTTGGATTCAAACGCTGGTTCGGCCTTGGAAGTGGCCCTGGCAGAAAGAACAGTGCCTCCATTCAGCTGTGGCTGAACAGCAATGTCAGCCTCCCTGGTCAGCTGCCTTTTCCTCTTTCCCAGGACACCAGTGGTTCCCACCAGCTGACTCACCACCAGGAAAGAGAGAGAAGAGGAGGGCTGCCTGCAGGGGAGGCTTCTTGCCTCGGATGAGAGACAGACCGCAGAACGGCCTCCCCACCCCCACAAAGCCTCCTACTCCCAAGTTCAGGTTTGACTCCCACACAGTAGAAGTAAGAGTCATTAGATAAGAACCTGGACAAGATGCCCAATGCTGTCAGCTCTTTCCCAAGTCCCTGCTTTTCTCAACTGGCTCATAATGGGTTGAACTCTGGCTCGTCATTCTCTCCCAAGAAGCTCACAGCTTTGCAGACGGATACTCAGTACACACCCCCTGTCCCAGTGACCCAGAACTTGTCATTCCCACTTCTCAGTGGAGGAATTCATCCGGGGAGAGGGGAAAGGGAAGGGTGGGAGCTGGTGGTCTCCCGTGGCTGCCCAAAGCACGACTTTGGCCACATTCATGGAGCGATACCACCCGTGTGAGGGCCAGCGGTCAGTCCACCTCTGTTCCATCCTGGGCCCCGGGACAGCTGCAGGACGGACTTCGGTGAGCTGGAGCATGCCAGAGAAGAATGGCTGCGACAGCCAAGCGCTGGGCACCATGTGTGAGGGTGAGCAGCTTGCAGGTGAGGCCACCAAGGTGGTTTAACTGAAAAAGGTCAATAAAAGCCTGGCAGTGGGACTCATCTCATTCTGTGTTGGCCCAAAGCAGGATAGAAACAAGTCACCAGGACAGGAGGCCTTCACTCCAAAGCTGCTTATCCACCACCCTGGGAGCCCAGCCACCCTCCGAGTCCAGGTGGAGTGCCTCCTTCCCTCCATCCGCTCCCCTCGACTTGCGCTGTGGGAATTGAACCCCCCTGCTCCCCCCCCCCCCGCGTCCCACTGCCGAACTCTGAGAGCACACAGGCCTATAAACACTGACCCCCGCCTGCCTTCTAGAGCAGCTGGTCACGTTCGCTGGACTCCTAGACTGGGCTGTGAACTCGGAGTGTGTGTGGGGGTGGGTGTCTTTTCACCCGTGGAGTCCCCCAGGACCCAGTGAGGGCCAGCGCTGAGGTTATGCTGAGCACGCGTGGGCTGGTGGCATCGGTGGGTGAGGGGAAGACTCAGGGCCCTGTGTCCCAGAGGAACAGGTGGTTGAAAACCACTGCCCACAGCCCCTCCCTCACTGCGGGTCTCTGCCTCCGCCTGGGCGTGGCCACGTTAGGGAGAGGGGTCGACACCCAGGGCCCCCCACTGAAGGCAGTGAGCCTATGATTTACATCGGGAGAAGTGGGAACCTCATGGCCACCCGGCAAACCCTCAGACCCGTTGAAAGGCAGCTCCTTCTGGGGTGGCCAAAGCCCCATTGCAGGGCTGCCATCTTCGGCCTGGG